CCCCGCCTCCTCATTGGCTGAGAGTACTGCAGGGTTCACAATATTCTCGGATGACATCTAAAATTACCCCAATTTACTACCCCTTTGTAGGAAATTTCTTTGTCTGTGGGCTCAGTACAAGCCCGTGGAAAAAGGCCCACACAAAACCCTGTGAAAAGAGAAACATTAGGAAAGGAAGAGAACAATAAAGGGCTATTAATCATTACCATCTCAATGACAACTTTATCTATTCAGTGACCGCCCCCCGCCCCAAGGAATGGGCTGGACCTGAATTACTTCTGAAAATGAATCACTTAGATTATTTTCTTACAAGCAGTGAATGATATTTACATAGTCATGATAAGGTAAATACAAACTGCTTTCTTACCTATTCACTGTTAGAAAACTATTGGCAGAATGGGGAAGGGTGGGGGGTAAGAGACTTAAATCCTCAATTATCCTAATGCAGAAGATAATTTCTATGCCATTAAAAAAAAACCCAGCAGGGCAGCCCGGTGGGAGCACGGGAGCCACAGTGCGCCGCTTGGGAGCACGGTGGCGCTCCCGCCGAGGGGTTGGATCCCACATACAGACCGGTTCCCGCTCACTGGCTGAGTGAGGTGCGGGCGCAGCACCGAGGGTTGCGATCCCGTTGCCAGTCCCGGTCCGGAACGGGCGCGACACTGAGGGTTGCGATCCGTTGCCGGACACGAAAAAAGGCAAAAAAAGGAAAGAAAAAAAAAACCCAAAAAACCCAGCAACATATAATCTAAAAAAAGGAGGTAAACTGCAGTAGAAAGCCAAAAAAAGTTGGAAGTACTGCCCCTAAAGGGTGGTGGAGAGGGGGTGGAAGGGGTAGGGCAGGGACTGCTGTTATTTTTCATTGCAGGCCTTAAAAAAGCATTAGATGGAAACTTTGCTTAAAAAAATTAAAGGAGTGTACAGAAAAATCAAGACTTTGAAGACTTTAAGTAATAATATACAGGGGTCTGACGGACTAGACAATGAGATTACTGCCATTCATTCATGTAATAAATATTTATCAGGCACCATTCTTTTTTTTAAAGATGACCAGTAAGGGGATCTTAACCCTTAACTTGGTGGTGTCAGCACCACGCTCTACCAAGTGAACTAGCCAGCCATCCCTATATAGGGATCCGAACCCGTGGCCTTGGTGTTATCAGCACCACACTCTCCCAAGTGAGCCACAGGCCAGCCCTATCAGGCACCATTCTGAGTCAGGCACTAAGTTAGACACCAGAAATACAAAGGTGAATGAAGGCATAAAGTCTCTGCCGTCCTAGAGTTTGTGTCTGCTAGAGCTAATTGACAATGAACAAGAAAATTGAAAGAAAGTGACCCAAGATGCCAGGCACCGTTTAAGCTTTATTAAAGGAAAAGAATCTGCCAGGTTGCGCTCAAAGTGGGGAACAGCCCGGGGCTGCCCTGAAAATGGAGGACAGCACCAAGTTGTGGGGGTGGTAGAGCTTATATTGTGTGCCAAGGGCTGGCTACCATCAAGGAGGGTCATTATGCTAATGTGGATCAGGGTGGAGAACTGCGTCCTTGTGGAAGCAAAAGCGGTTTCTGTTTAAGTCAGGAGGCTTCTCATAAACGGGAGGGGAGGAGGTGGGCAGCACCATTTTGTACCTGGGCTTCTCTAAAGTGGCGCGGGTTATGTAGCAGATCTATTAAAAATAAATACAAAGAAGTACAGATTGTAGTAACAAGTGGTGTGAATAGAAAAAAACCCTAACTACTGTGATATAAAATAGTGGTAAGGGGAAGACAGGGCAGCCACTTCAGTTGTTTGTCAGGGAAGTCTTCTGAGATTAACTACAATTTGAAAGATAGGGATCGAAAACTGAGGCAGAAAAGTCTGGCAGGCCTACAAACTGTCAAAAAGCCAGTGTGGCCAGAAGTACCAGAGATGAGCGGGTTGATTGCTCAGGATGAGGTTAGAAAAGTGGCAGGGCTCAGATCATATTGCTACAGGTATAAATTTGGGGAGTCTTCAGGGTATAGATATTTGAAGCCACGCTTAGAGTATGTAAAGAGTACATTCCACCACCTCATCCAGACGAATTCCAACATCTATGAGGAATAGCCAGTGAAGATAGAAATGCGAGGCCTGTAAGAAAAGGCCCAGCAAAGAACTCTGAAAACTTCAACACCACCCTAACATTTTTCCTTGTCACTCCTCTAAAACTGCTCTATAGCTTCTACGTATTTTGAAAATAAAAGTTCATTACAATTTCGTTTTCAGATCTTTTGCGTCAGTTCCGGAGATAATTGGCGATACTTGCATCCAAGAAAAATCAATTCATAATCCCCTTAGAAAGTTATTCATTCTCGCTGTACGTTACACCACCGTGGCCCAGGATCTTCGTTCGAATCCTGACCATAGGGTTCCCCCCCCCCC